AGAGAATATATGTAGACCAAGCAACACATAAACTTAATATACAATAAAACTAGCTTTCCAGTATAACTCTATACTTGAGGAGAAAGGATTATTTAATGAGTAATTTTAGAGCGATTCAATAACAGTTTTGAAAAAAAAAAAGGAAAACATTCATACCTTATACAAGATCAAAATTAATTCCATGCCTTTGCACAAGCTGTTCCATCCACCAGGGGTGACTTCCTCCTGCTTGCCTACCCAGCAAACTCCCACACACCCTCCATAAACACTCAACTCAGTGCTTCTTTTGTGATTCCTTTCTAATTTCCTTTAAAAAACATAAATACATTCTATTCTCTACTCCCACTTTATGTGGGTAACTGTCTTGTGACAAATACAGTATGGCATTATAATAATTTGTACTTCCCTAAACAGAGTGTTTACTCAGTTCTTTTAACCTTTGCAATCCCAGCACCTGAACCAGTATTGGCCACAGAGTAGGCATTCAAAGGGTCTTTGATGAATGAATGACACATCAATATCCAGGATAATACACACGCATTAAAATTCCAAGCATGGTTTCACAAAATGTTTGTGAAAATAAGTTAAAAAAAAAAATACATTACAGGGCTTCCCTGGTGGTGCAGTGGTTGAGAGTCCACCTGCCGATGCAGGGGACGCGGGTTCGTGCCCCGGTCCGGGAAGATCCCACATGCCGCGGAGTAGCTGGGCCCGTGAGCCATGGCCGCTGAGCCTGCGCGTCCGGAGCCTGTGCTCCACTACGGGAGAGGCCACAACAGTGAGAGGCCCGCGTACCGCAAAAAAATAAATAAATAAATAAAAAATACATTGCAAAAGCATATGTACAATGAGCTAACAGTTATAAAAGAAGAAGTATGGTTTTATTTACCCCAAAATAAAAGTATATGTTTATGCTAGGGTCATTAAAATATCTTCCATTGTTTCATTACCTTTACAAATTTTTTTTCTCGTAGCATATCATCCTTGGGCTTAATGTAACTGTTACAGGATGTTAGAATGAGAATCTTCCTGTAATCAGTTTCAGCTGAAGCACCACTACAATAAATATTGGATTACAATGACAGAGACAAATCTATCCACCACTCCCAATTGCAGAATTTATAGTTAATAGGAATCCCTAAATTTTTGGACACTTCCATGATATCAAAGGTATAAAACATCAGAGAGAAGCTTTGGGGAGGAGTTCAGTAAGTTTTTTTTTTTCCTGGAAAGATCTGTTGTCTTGCTCTGTTTCCCCAGTCTCCTCTTTGGGGGAGGACATAGGGCATTAGAGGGCAAAAATGAGCCACTAGCCTCAAGACCTGCAAGGCGGTAGCCCTTAGAGGAGACAGAGAGTTGTCTCCAAGGTCACTACTGTAAAGCATTGAAATTCTGTTCCCTGACATTAGGAAACATAGAAGACTGGTCCCTGATGTAAAATTGATGAAGTAAAGCCAGCTGTGGAATGTGGTCTGAGCTTACCCCAGAAATCTTAAGAGAAGAGAGGGCCTGAATAGTTGCTTTGTTGAGATTAGACTGATTTCCCAGGGGTTGTAGGGGCAAAGGACATACGAGTTTTCCCACAGTGAGAGAGAGAAGGGGTGGAACTAAGCTGGAATGGACTTGTTCAAGGTCCTGTCCAGCTGGAGGGATAAGGAAACCTCAGCAGAGAGAAGTTGGAAGTGTTGGTGTGTCGGAGTGGTGGGGGGAACTGGCAACCACGGGCTGAGAAAGGAGTCTTGGCAACTCAGGTAAAATATGTTTCTGCTTGAGTTGAGGAAAATGCAAGGGAAGGAGCCTAACAGGAAACCTCCAAAGGGTTCTCAGAAGCACTTTATGGGAAAAACGGGAAACAGTCAGCTTTCATCAACTGCAGGGCCCATAAAGCACAGTACTACCCACCTAGAGAGTATTGTCCTCTACCTCTTATCCTTCTAAGCCTTCCGCACGAGGACCTTGCTGAAGAGTAACACAAGTGGTAGGGGAAGTCAGCAGGACCGGGCTCCCTGTTCTGAGAAGCAGGTCCAAGCTGGTGAAGGGAAGAACATGTTATACCAATTTTGACATTTTGATAATTACAGGAAGCCGGACTTCATATATTCTGAATTGAGAGTGTTTGTTACTGAAAGCAAATGTTGCACCGTTTCCTAAGAGTAAAGGAAAAGTCGCAAGCCTACAGAAGAAAGATTACCACAGATAAAAGATTACACCATGGGGTGATGCTTAAAGGGATGGTGGGAGATAAAAACTAAATTGTGTTCTGATTCCATTAAGTACAATACATTGAGCTTGTTCAGTACGTCAGTTGCATAAGAAAAAGCAGTCATTCTCCTTTAATGCTCCAGTAAATCATAGAAATAAGTCATCCAGGTCAGAAAGTTTGTTCAGTTTTGATTTTTATTTTAAATATTATTTAAACCCTCATGAACTGTGGAACATCCTGCCATATTTCATATGCTTTTGGATGATAAAGTTTGGATCATTGATCATAAGGTGGGGATGGAAACTCATAGGTCATTGTGTCTTTTTTTTTTTTTAACTTTTTATTTTGTATTGGAGTATAGTTGATTAACAACGTTGTTATAGTTTCAGGTGTACATCAAAGTGATTTAGTTATACATATACATGTATCCACTCCTTTTCAAATTCTCTTCCCACTTAGGTTGTCACATAATATTGAGCAGAGTTCCCTGTGTCATTGTGTCTTAACCCTTCATTTTACAAATAAGGAAACCGTGGCATAGAGAGTTTAAATGACTTGCTCCGAACACCACTGCTGGTCAATAGCAAAACAGCTTCTGACATGCCATGCTTCCTTTTCTGATCCACTCCAAAATTTCCACAGTCTGCTGTAGCTACACCCCCAGTCTGAAAGGAGTCTGAAAATAGAAGAGAAGTGGGCAGTTTTCCTAACAATACTAATCAGACAGTTGCCTATTCTCTAAGTGTCAGAGAGGGTCTCACAAAGCAAACTTTTAGAGAGTGTAGGAAGTTAATTACCTTTCTCTGTAATGCATTAGTCAACGGTCCTTGTAACCTGAGGCTATTTAAAATACAACTTGTATTTAGTAGCATGGATTCAGAAGACTTTAGACATTAATATATCTAAGAGAGCCTCTTTTATCTAGTTTATTACATTTTCCTCTGACATGCTTCAAGGCCTTTTAAAACCTATCTTGTGTTTAGTTAAAAACAACAAAACAGATTACAGAGAAAGAATGTTTTGATTGAAATTAATAATTACTTAATAGGTCTCCTTCAAAGGAACATGAAAATGGGGCTTACATATTTAAGAGGTTTCTGAGATGAAATGGCCTAGGTTTTCAAATACAGGATTAAAGAGGGATTGTCTGCTTCCAAATAACTCTCTTAACAATCTACTGCCGCACCGCTGTGTGTATCCATTGCTTTAAGGTAAAACATTGTCGCCTAAGAATTCTAGGGAAATACAAATATGTGACGTCAACATTCCTCAGTGAGGATATGGTGTTAAGGGATTTAATTTTTAAGATGGGAGATAAACATTGGGTTTGTATGATATAAAAAGTAGTACACACACACACACACACACACACACACACACACATACACACAAAGTAATACAGTGCTCAGAATGACAGTATAAGAATCTCTGAATTTCTGATCCTCCATAAAAACAATGAGGACACTTGCAAAAATCAAATTCAACTTTTTCAGGATTCTGGAAAATTCCTGCAAAAATCTGAGGAATATTTATTCAAGAAAAATAGATAAATCTCAGTAAAAAGGGGAGTTTCGTGAGGTTTTAACTTGCCTTATTCTCATCTCCTTCTCCCCCGCTCATGGCAGCCGTGAAAACCTAGCAGTGAGCCCCTGGAGAGTGGTAGAACAAATCAGGAGCCACGGAAAAAAAGCCCCAGTCCCAAGAATTGTTATTATCTGATTTGTGTGACAGCTACCTAGGAACCCCAACTTACAGGGCTTGTCTTTATCCGACCTGACTAGAGCTTACTCACTGCTACCAACATGTTCCCTACAGCATTTTTTCAAAACAACCAGTGGTGATTGTTTAATATCACAGCTGCCTAAAGTGCAATAACTGGTTAGGAAAACTTAAAAAGAAAGCTGATCAAAACTCTTTAAAAGGAAAAGCTTGGAAATGAGATTTCAATAGTTTGAAAAGCTTTGCCATATTCTAGAGAATCTAACAGACTTCACACATATGCTGGGTTGTGCACATGCTCAGGAAAAATCTGAGAAGGTCCTAACCTCTTACCTAACCTTGAGGCTGTGCACAAACAGGAAGTGAAGGCTAAAATAGAACTGTAAACTGACCGTGGAGTAACGGAGTTGTGCCCCAAACACATAGAGTCGCTTAATGAAAGCTGGGAGACTTATTGGTTCAGGGCATTTATGTAAACGGAGATTTAACCAGGGTTTGTGTTTTTCAAGTGAGTTTAATGTACTCTTGAGAGCATGTACAAGAGTGATAATTATCATGAGCTATGGAATCTAAGTGGGATAACTACTAATTGGGAAGCAAGGATGTGAGGAGATCTATAGAGAAAGTGTATTAAGGTTAATGGATTGATTATGTCTGGGTGGGGGGTTGAAAACTCATTAGAGTAAGAGTAGTAAAGGAAGTGGACAGGGAAACTTAGGGAGTAGAGATAATCAGAAATTGGGATGATGGAAGTTGAGGTTTTACAATTATTATTCTACAATGTCTAAGGTTTATCTCTGGATATGAGTGGCCGAGATAGGGTGGAGGACAAGATCATTATACCAGGGGATCAACAAAAGATGATATGAAGTATTGCTGAGCCATTAAGTGCCTCATCTTTGACAATGTTTGCTTGGGGTAGAAAAAGCTGCATGTTACTGAATCTT